CACTGGTGAGGACTTTGCTGCCCCCCCATTGGGATTGCAGGCAGGACACATCTTCTGGCTGAAGGACAAATGAACTCTTTGGGTCTTACTCCAAGACTCTGCAGAGCACCTGATGTTGCTGTTTGCCAAGGGACCATCCTAAGTCATCTGGAGGCCACTGGAAACCCCAGAGAGCCATGGGGAAGCGGGGAGGGTGTGGGTTTCCCTCTCTGTGGAACAGCTTGTGGATTTGGTGGGGCAGTATCTAGATCTTAGATGGCCAGGTTGGGGAAATGCATGCGCATCTGCGTTCAGGTGACTTCCACCCAACTGTCCTATAGCAGTGGTGGTACTGGTGCCAGGCAGACCAGAGATCACTCACTTTGTCTGCTTGGGGGTGGCTGGCAGGGTCTGAGCCCTCAGGAAAAGCCTGGACAGGCCTGGCCCTCCATCCAGGCTGGTCTCTTTGTTTCTCCCCAGCATAAATCAGGGCAAGCCGCATCCATGGAGTGCAGAGCTCACTTTGTTTTTTCCTCAAAACTTTCTTTTCCATGATGGTTGATTGCCAGAGGGATGTGGGTCTGGAGGTGAACCTGCCTTAGGAGAGCAGGAGCTGCTTCTGCTGTCTGTTCCACACCTGGTGGAGTGGGGAACTTTCTCCGGGGAAGAGGCTTGACAGCAGAGAAGATGGCAAAATATATCCATAAATTTGGCCTAGATTTCCAGCAACATTTGGCAGTTGGTTTGCAAAATACTTACCTTTTCCTCCAGTGATTTGTGTGGTAAAACACAGGGCAGAGACCCCAAATGCTGCAGCCCCTCCGCACACAGCAGCACCACCACCAACACCCACGGTTCTGCAGGTCCATGCTCACCCACACCACCGGTGCTCCCATGGGATGGCACCCGTTTAGTCCTAGGGCAAAGTCCAGCTCCACTTTGGGATACTGAGAGGGGTCTTCATGAGATAGAGCCAGATGGAGACGGACACCAAACCCTGGGGCAAGACTGTCTGAGCTGGGGAAGCCCCAGTGCCCCTGACTGTGCAACGTGGGAGGCAGAAGTGGCAGAAACCACTTGCAGTGAGGACTTAAGCAGAGCATGTAAGAAGTTCCTGAAGAATCAGGGCTGCCTCCCCAAATAAGAGGCAGATGGCCAGGCTGAGGACTGGATTGGGAGAGTAAATCTAGCTCCTGCATGGCCAGAAGGACACAGGCCTGTCATAGGAGCAGAGTCTTCAGATCAGGCTGTCGCCCCACTTTTAGCCCAGCTCTGGCCACATCTGCAGGTTGTTTGCACCATCCCGTGTCCTGGACTGGGATGCCAGTCCTGAGAGCTGCTGCTGCTGGGGGCTGGCAAGTGAGGAACGCCATCCATGGTTGGGATGGGCTGAGGGACCTGGGGCAGAGCCCCTCTGCTCTGCTCAGCCCCAAGCTCTCTCCTCAGCACCACCAAGGTCTAGGAGGTACCCAAGTGTGTGCTGTGCTGCTTTGGCACTGGGGTCCCCAGAAACGCCAGCAAACGGGCCCCAGTGGATGTCCCAGCTCAGAAACCAAACATCACCACACAAAGCATCAGAAGAGCAAAGAGAGGAGAAATAGAATCACATAAGGCTGTTACATATGGAGGGAGGAAAGAAAGACCCCAGTGTTAGCTCCACTGCCAACAGCTGCCCAAGATTTCAGAGGCAGCAGCAGCAGCACACCACCAGACGTGAAATACGAGATGTGCTCTGGAGGCATTTTCAAGCCAGCTAACAGTCATCTGCTGACGTTCTCCTTACAACAATAATGATTAAAAAAATTGGGAGAAATCTGATAGCATTATCCTACCAGGCTGCTCAGTACAACCATTGCATCTTCAAATATGAGCACATCTGTGATGAATTAGGGATGGAGCATGGGCAGAGCAAGAACTGAAATTGCATTAGCTCTCCCAAGAGCTGCAGTTACACGCAATGCTCACAAACACATTCCCAGCCACTTGCAGTGAGTGAAATCCTTCACTAGCTGACAGTGGGGAAAAATGTGACCAAAAAAGCATGCTTTGCCAGGAAGTGCCAGAAAAATGATCAATATCTGGGAATTGTGGTGAGAGGGGTCATTTTGCCAGGAAATAAAAGGGGGAAAAAATATCCACTCTAGTGTAAATGCAAAACTGAGAGGAAGATGATGGTTTCTGCAGGAGCCTGGCATTAATGCTCTGCAAAATGAAGAGGAAGGTGCTTTGCAGAGCTCAGAGTACCACTGGATGTGGAGGCAGGGAGGCAGCACACGGGCAAGCAGGGAGTGGGGTACCTGAAAGATGGGGCAGGACAGATTGCATTAGACTGCTGAGATATGAGATCTGGGCATTATTCCAGAGAAGAAAGCAAATTTCCAACCACAAAGCCAAATTAAAATTATACAGTGGCTTGATCGTAAGACCTCTCCACAATGACTGTTACAAGGAGAAGGCCAAGAAATGCCATGACTACCTAGGATGAAATTTCAGGAAGAACCTTGCAAAAGATTTGAGCTAGAAGAGGGGAATCACGATGCAGCAATGCTACAAGCAAGGCAGCTGGTGGACAGGTTGCACACCACAGCCAAGCAAGGAATTAGCCAGGGATCTGGGCTCATCTCTGCAAAACTGCAGCTGGTGGGTTTTTTTGGATGGCTGGGCTGACTCCTAGGCAGGTTGTACAGGTGGAAGCAGAGCAAATGTGTTGGCCCATGCAGAGCTCACTGTCTTGTCAGAACAGTGGACATCATTGCTGTCAGCATTTGTGTTTTGCCTCAGGAGCCTGTGGCTGCCTGGAGCTCCAATTTACAGAAGGAAGCGATGAGTTGCACTGCATCACAGAAGTTGACAGCAGAGGAAGTTGTACCCAATCACCTACATGTCTATCATGGCTGTAGCCATCAAAATAAACTCTCGTGGCAGCTCGTGCTTCTCCAAAGCCAAGGGGTCAGCATGCTCTACTGCAATCACTCCAGCAGAGATAGGATTACCAGCTCGAAAGGAAGAGAAACAAAAAACAGAGCTTGCTACTCTGATCAAATTTACCTGCCTTGTCAAGTGCTTGATCACGCCTGATAAAGTGCTGTAGGATATGTATCAGGATGGCAGAAATGTGTCCCCTCCTCTGCCCCCATCTCTCCAGAGAGGGGTGAGAGCTGTGGATGGGATGTGTCCATTGCTCTTGGCTTTTGTTTTTTGCTTGTTGGTCCAAGTTTGGCGAACCTGAAACATCACAAAATACATTGATTAGACCAGCTCTGCATTTCTGCAACAGCATCTGTTGTGGGGGGGACTAAATTGAAAAATTACATCTGTCTCTTTTCAGAATAAACCACAAACCTCGGCAGGGTACACAGGTGAAAGGATAAGGGAGGTACTGGCTGGCCCTCAGCCATCCGCATCCCTAGATGGGCACTGGGCCCAGTATGGCCCAAACACAGGCAGGTTTCCTTAAGACAGTGCCTCTGGAGCTGTGCCAGCTTTGCAGCCTCTGTGCGGCTACACTGATGTGGTTCATGCACTTACATTGATCAGCAGCAACGGGAAACGAGCTGGGGCCACCGGGTTTCATGGTCATCTCATCTCATCTCATCTGCACCTCGTTGCTGCCCGCTGCAGCCACAGACCTTCCAGTGGCATAGGCAGGATGCAAATCCATCCCGGTATCACCCATGATGTGCACGTCCTGGTGAGCCATCCCACAAGCCAGCAGTGGGTCTGGATGCAGCCAGGGATGAACTGAGCAAACACGCAGCCTGCGATGCTGTGTGTGCCAAGGGAGGGCCGAAGAAGGGTTTTAAATAAACTGCTCTGGATCAAAGCATGCATGGTGCTTAGGAAGAGTGGTGGCTCAGGCAGGAGTTCTCTTTGCAAAACACATCTGATTCCTGGGTGTGAAGAACTCATGGCCCCGGCCTCTCCCACCCTCCTCAACCCTGGTACCTGCATGTGTTCATCTCTGCTGAGCTTCCCAGCAGCAGGGCAGGCGGTGCACCAGGAGCACTCCCCAATCCAGCCTCCTGCCCTTGTCTCCTCGGCAGAGCCCTGAGGAAATAGTGGTTAACATAATGCTCAGCCCTTCCCATTTACCATAATGGTTTCTCCGTGCTAAAGGCACTTTGTTTCTGGGAAAATGCATTTCCTCCTTGAGTTGGTGAAAAAATAATGCCCCCAAAAGCCACACTGCTGACCCAGCCATCGCAAGGCAGAGTATGTCAGTGTGCTCCTGCCACTGAGCCCAAGAGCCCTCCTGCAGCAGCCTGCCCCAGCTTACAGCTGGAGAAATATTTCCTGTGTGACAAGCATTTCCCCATCTCCCATCTGTGCATTTCGATAGGAAATGAGAAGCTCCTGTGCTGTGACTACTACAAGGCTGACACGTCTAGGCTGGATGTGGCAATGAGGAACATCCAGCCATGGGGACTTGAAGGAATTGTTCAGCCCGTGGGTGGGTGATTTCTGCTCTCCCACTGAGCGGTCCTGACATGGCACACTTGTGCCTCAGTTTCCTCACCTGCAAGAGGGACACATGACGATGCCACAAGGTGCTGAGGTGTAATTTGGGATCTGGGAGGGAAAGTAGGCCTGGGGATACAGAGTTCTTCCCCACAGCCAACATCACCAGCCCTGCTCGCAGCACCCTAACACTCTCCTGAAAGCAGCCAAGAGCCCTGGGAGGCTCAAGGTAGCGGGTTCCAATGGACATCTAGTCATCCCACCACTGACTCCCTGTGGGAGCTGGAAGGTCTAAGGACAGGGACAGGAACTGTGGGAGTCCCGTGTCCATGGATGGGCAGTGGGACTCCATAGGCATCCTCAGTCCACCTACCTGCAGGAGCCCGTTGCCTACATTTCATTGTTCTCATAGGTGTGATGCTCTTTTTCTCTGCAGTGACTCGCAAAGCCTTCTCCACCTTCATTTGACTTGGCACTGGTTAATGACCAAATGGAAAGTACCCAATCCATCCTCCATCACTAGCCCTGCTTTGCTCTTTCTCTTTTGTCCACCTCAGGTCTCCTCCTCAGATCCCGTCACCATGGAAATTCCCCCCAAGAGCCCTGATGGGAGTGAGAAATCTCCTCAGTCCAAGGAGCTGATGACCAGTAACACGGCCAGCACCCTCTGCATCAGCTCCCGGAGCGAGTCTGTCTGGACCAGTGCATCCAGAAGCAAGTGGGACATATACCACAAGCCCGTCATTGTCGTGTCTGTGGGAGCAGCCATCTTCCTCTTCGGGATGGTCATCACCAGCCTGTCTTGCATCCAAATCAAGAACAAAAACGTTTACAAAATGTGTGGCCATTGGGACTGATGCTCCTCGTTTGTGGCCTTGTCTGGATCCCCATCATCCGGAAGAAGCAGAAGCAGAGGCAGAAGTCACAGTTCCTGCAGAGCCTCAAGTCCTTCTTCTTTAACCGCTGAAGGCAGCCCAGGACCTTCCTGGGAAGGGTCCCCTCCCATCTACCTACCTGTGTTGGTTAGTCATAGAAAGAAACATGTTCTTGTACTCTCCTAGAGGATTTCATCCCAGTAAGTCTCTTTCCTACACGTGAAATGCACTGTACCAGTCTTCAGTGTGAAAATGAACTTTGTATTTCATCCAAGCAATCCCAGAAAGAAAGAGAGTAGGATTTTGCAGCTGAGTCCAGCAAGGCAGGTCCGAGCTCTCTGCATCGCCCTCCTCTCCAATAAGCAACCCAACATCACGTATCGGGAAAAGGAAAGGAAAGCTCCTAAGTAACCTGGATCCACCCAGTAGCTTCTGCAAGATACATCAGCAGAGAGGAGCCAACCAACTACAGAGTGGGAGCAAAGCCCGATGTGAATACTGCTGGCTGCACACTGCAGTTCAGGAGCAGAAACTGGGACGCCAGAAGTGGTTCATCCAGAGTTAGCAGAGAGGAGAAGCCAGACAATGTAGTTCCAGACCACTTTGTATCAGAGGAGGCCACCAGAATAAGCAACACACATCACCAAAGCTTAGGAGGACCAGTGATGCCCATGGCCAGGACTTTGTGTCATTAATGTGTTACAGTGGTTGGCTGAGACATGGATACAAGCTGGAGCTCACTCCTTGCTCAGCATGGACCATTCACAAGCTTTATTTACAGGTCAAGGCAAGGAGCAAGATCACAAGCAGTATTTTTTTGCTCCCTCTGGCAGAGGGTATTTAAGAAGGGCTGTTCCTCCAGACCTGCAGGGCCAAAGTTGTTTTGCAGCATCTGTCCATTTGCACTGATGTTGTCTGCCAGAGCCGCCCACAAACACTAACCATCAGCCTAGTCATGCAACCAGAATTGGACCACAGGCAAAAGAGACAGGTTCATTATCTCCACCACTCTATTTCTGCCTTTAATAAATGTGTGCCCTGAGGCAATTCACCAAGGAAAGCACAGATCCTTTCTGCATGGTTTTTGCTTTAATTTTATATTTTCAGCAGGCCTGATTTACTTTAAAAGAAAAATTTGAAGAGCAAATTCTCAGTCTGAAGAACTGGTCTCAGTCTGGACAGCAAAATCTGGGTTGATATAGATAGACCTGTAATGTCCAGCTCCCAATTCTGGGTTCAGGCGCTGATTTTTTCAGACGTGCCGATCCAGTCTGGATGCCACAGCAGCCCTTTGCGAGTCTGGTGAGACTCCCCAGCACAGCAAGCACTGGCTCAAAGGCCCTGTCACCCGCTGCAGGGTGAGGATGTGGTCGGTGCTGATCAGAAGCAGAAGAGGAACACGGAAAAGGAGACCCCACCAATGTCTTCTTTGTAGTCTGCACCTCCGCAGGGAAGCTGAGGCAGCCCCATTGCTCTTCCAAATGCCGCGGGAGGCAGAGATGCTGGCAGGGGGTGCACTGAGAGAATTTGCAATGTGTTGGCTCTTTGGTTTCAGATGGACAGGGTATGATATCCTCCATCAACTGCTGATAAAAGGAAGCCGATGTAAGCCCTCAGCTTCCTCTAACCCAGTATCCCACATCTACCAACAGCTCCCAAGGAACCCTGGAGAGAAGCACAAGAAATGGGGCATGCAGACAATAGCCCTTCTCCTGGCTAATGTCCACCTCCCAGCTAACAGCAGCACAGACCACGGCAGAGGTTGCTCCAGACCGCTTTTCAAATCAGTTTGTACTTTCAATCTCTGCAACATCCTGGAGCCACAATTCCTTCAAGCTGTCTAATTTGCCAGACAGGCTGGAAGCTCTGCATAGCGTCAGGAGACACAGCAAAAGCAGAGGGTAACAGATCCTGCTGCTCCAGGCCAGCAGGCACCCAGCAGGTCAGTAAAAGGCGAGATGTGTTTGCTGTAGTCAAGGATCTTGAAGCTGTAGCTGTGGGAACTGTGCTCAGGGCCAAGAGTTGATTCCATGTGGGGAAATATTTAACCTCCTCCTAGCCATCGCTGGATGAACCCCCTTATTTCTGAAACTGGTGCCACATCAACATTTCTGCCTGCGAATATGGTACAAGGTGCCCATGGCCCAAAGCCTTCAAGTAGATGCGTCTGTGCTACCACAACCTGGCTAACATGATTAACCAGGGTGCTTTGGCTCACCTTGACACTGCTGCCAGGCTCCCACCAGTACGTGACCAAGGCTGGCCAGTGCCACGTGCCTGGGGATACCCTCCACCAGTATTGGAGAGCTTGAGGAGGCAGCTCCCAGCCTGGCAGCTGACACAGCTGGATTACAAGTATTCGAGCAACGCACATCCCTTTGCCCCAGGCTCAACCTGGCCCTGAGTTTTGTTTCCTGGGTGGTGCAGACATGTGTGTCCCTGGCCAGCCGGTGCCAGGTTTATGAATGAGGTGAACAAGGTGTATGATCTGGCACTGGACCCAGTAAACCTCCGTTTGTTCTTCAGCCATTCATCATGCCGTGCAATGCTTTGCTTGTTTTTGCAATCTTGCCTTGGCACTAGGCAGCAGTCTCTATTGATTTAGCTGCAACGGGCAGAGGACGCTCTCAAAACTCCTACTTGGGGGGCAGCTGCAGTCAGAAGAGCAGACAAACATCAGGAGTCATGAGGGGGAAATCACAGAGCAATGTGAAGAGCATCACCAGGTCCCGGTTGGCTGCAGCCTGCAGATCTGGTCACAGATGGGCATCCTAAAGCTGCACGGTCTGGAGAAGGCACCTGGAAATGGACCCTGCTGCAAACAGCTCTGCTGTGGCAAGAAACTGCTCAGCTTGGGCTAGCTGTCCAAAGGGATGCGACGGGAGGACTAGAAGTACCGAACTCCTGGGGAGAGGGAGTAGGGCTCCTGCTCTCCATGTCTCACGACCAAGGATAAGGAGACAGTCAGTGAAATATTAATAGGATGAGAAGTCATTGAGACCAAGATTCTAATGGGATTCCAGACTGGTCATTTATAACAAGAATATTAGGTTTAATTAAAGCAAAAATTTCCCAAGGGACTTTCATGTTGCTGCTCTGGTCTCACGTCTGTGGTTTTGTGCCTGCTGGTAGAGAGGGGAGGCTGCATTATAAGGTGTTTGGGGCAGAGGATGGTGTGGCATCCCAGGGCCACTGTGCAGGGGGATCACTCAGGACATCGGGAGGAGGAAGAGCTGGCCTGGTGCTGCAGATTGGTTTGGGTGCTGGCCATGTGCCCTGGGCAAGGGTCTCAGGTCTGCGGATGTGCTCAGTGGACACTTCTGTTGGGGTGTGAGGAACACGTGGGTGGCACAAGAAAGTGCCTGGCAAAAGGATGGAGCCTGCCCAGGTGAGGGTAAAGGCAATAGCCCAGGGATCAGCAAAGCTTATTGAGAAGAGGAGAGGCCATTTATCAGGTAGATCTTACCATTTGCTGCCCAGATCTGTACGGGGACAGTAAGGTAAAGGGAGAGAAATGTTAACTGAGGGAAAGCTAGATTAACAGCTTGAAGATCAACATGCAGATGGAAGTCTGGCAACAAATGGGAACTCTGCACTTTGTTGCACAGGTCATAAATGACTGATTACTGCTGGGAAGTTGGGTGGACTTTGCATTTGTGCGTGCAATGCGAAGAGCTCCCAGCACTGGAAAATGCATCATTCTCTTGTAGTGAGAGAGGCTGAGCTGGAGCAACTTAGGGAAACAGAGATGCAGGGTATGCTGGAGGCTGTTCCTGAAACCTGGAGGGTTTCATTAGGAGCTGATATAAAATGCATGCCCTACTGTGGCCCAGAAAAACCCTACAGGGCTGCCAAAAAGTGACATCCTGTCTCTGTGCTGTGGGACCAGTGAACTTCCACATCCCGCTGAGGTGGGAGGCTGCAGAGGCAGAGAGTATCCGTGGATTCAGAATGGGTCCATGGGGAGCAGATGGCAGAAAGGGCTGGGCTTACGTGCTGTCTCCTCCTGCCATTGCGGGAGTCAGCACCGGTCTAGAGGGACCTTTGATCTGACCACAGGGCAGTTCATGTCTTTGGGTGATTCCCATGCACCCACAATGCACTGTTTGACTGCTCCCCAATATTCCTCTCTGCTCCCACTGAAGCCTGTTTGAATCCCGGTGTGATGCTTTGGAGAAGATGAAAGAAAACTGTATTTTAAGAAAAAACCATGTTATCCAGCAAACATAATTACACTCAGCTCTCACTAAAGCAAGCTTAGATGGGATCTGCTAGCTTCCCCTGTTCTATAAAAAGAACAGGAAATCCATTACAAAATTCATTATCTCTGCAGAGCAGTTCGAAGAGGAAATATATCTCCTGCATCTCAAAGGTCAGACCCCAGCAAACGCGCCGAGCAGGCTCCGCTGCCGGATGACACCCTGCTACAGGGCATCTACAACAGCTTCTTCATTCCTGGGCTTCAACAAAAGTTAAACCTGCCCAAAGATACTGCACACCCGTGTTGCATACCTCCCTCTGAGGATGTTAAATTGTGGTTTATCTCACTTCACATTAACTGGATTCATCCTTGGTGTAATCTGCAGATTTCTGCAGCTGCTTCTGGGAATTGCACTAACAGGAACCCCTCTCCTCTGGGGTATAAATGATTTAACTGTGGAAGGAAGCAGGTGACCACTGGTGTCTGTAAGCACACATATATATTCCTCTGAGCACTTCCACCACTCCTTTCTGGAAACACGGCTGAGGGCTCAGGGGGCTGTGGGGGCTGATATCCCGAGTTTCAGATTCACGTCTGTGTCTGGATATGAGCTGGGCGACCAGTACAGCATGCAGCCTGAAATGCTGCTGGTACTTCCTTGCACCCTAAGGAGCAGATGACATCCCACCGGGATGAACTGCAATTGCCCATCCCAAACTCAAAGCCAGCAGAAGCCTTCCCTGACCTTAATGAGCAGTAATGAGAGCAAGAGTTTTCAGAGGGCTCTCAATGCTCACAGTGAGTTTGAAAATTTACAAAAATAAAACCCCAATCCTTCCTATTTTCACATTAAGTGTTAGGCATATGGAAACTATCAAACCACTCAGACTT